TGTCCCTGCCTTGTCCTTCCTGGCAGGACCCTGGCCGTGGGGCAGTGGGGTGCCAGGCTTCGTGGCAGTCTCGTGCAGAGGGGCTGGGGGCTCTCAGTGGGTGCTTTACTGGGCAGGCTGGTTTCCAGCAGGCAGAGGGGAGACTCCCAGCCACACCCCAGCTGCCCAGACCCCCAGAGCACTGTGCCTCGAGGATGTCCCCTGACCCACTGCTTTCTCCTGCCCTCCTGTCCCATCGCACAGGGGCTGCTGGGCATCCAGGACCTGGGGCAGGTCTTCTTTGAGCCTGTCAAAGACAAACAGGGCAACATTCTCATCGTCACCCTGAAGGAGGTGAAGACCAACCAAACCTTTGAGAGTGTCCGCATCTGCAAGCTGCAGACCAGCCGCAAGTCTGTGTCGTCCCCGGAGGAGCCCACTGCTCTGGACACGCTGCTCATCTCCATCCAGGTCTGTGCCAGCTCCGTCGCGGCAGAGAATTGCAGTGGGCTCCATTGCAGGACCACCATCCTTCCCTGCTCCGCCATGATCTGGAAAAGCCACGGCAGAGCCCAGACCTCTGAGGGTTTGGTCCTGGCTGCAGGCAGAGGGGGGAGCAGAGCCCAGCCAGCCCCCAAAAACCCCACTGCTTCAAGGGGAGGCATCAAGCTGGTGCCAGATTCATCCCCGTAGCACCGGATGGTACCTGCTCTGCTGCTTCCCTGCTGCTGCCTGGGCTGGCTGTGCTGGGCAGCCAGCGTGAGGGCAGGATGGAGCCCTGCTGCCAGGGCTTGCTGGATCCAGCAGTGCCTTTCTCCTCAGGACAAGCTGGCGTACCACCAGCGGAGCAGCCATGCCCTCTCCCCGGGCCTCTACCTGGGCTACTTGAAGCTGTGCAGCGCCGTGGATCAGATCCGAGTGCTGGTGCCGGAGCAGCTCCCCAACATCCTCTGCCATGTCAAGATTCGCTCCAACCCCACCACCCCCAGGTGGGGCTTGCAGGGCAGCTCACCTGAGGCAGCCAGGCTCCTTTGTCCCATCCAGCCTCAGAGTACCCATCACCTCCTGCTTTGGCTCTCGGGCTCCTGGCAGCAGCATAATATTCCCTCTCAGCCCCGCTGCCTGCCATGCAGGAGCAAAACAAGGTCCCTGTCTACCTCTGCAACTCCGGCATCCCTTGGGGTGCTGCACTGTCTGGGGAGGAATGGCTGAGCCAACGCAGCCCTTGTAGCTATTGCGCGTTCAATTCCCCCGCGAGCTGCTCCCTCCGGCACATGTATGTCTGTCCCTTCTCCAGGGAGGAGTGGGAATGGCTGCAGAAGATGGCCAGTGTGGAGGAGGCTGTTCCTGCAGAGCCAGAGGCTGAGACCTCCCAGAACCATTTGTTTCAGGAGCTCCAAGTGGCCATCAAGGAGCTGATGACCCTGGTCAACATCCCATTGCAAGAGGTATGGGCAGGTGCTGCGGGCTGGGGAGGAGGAAGGGGAAGAAACCATGCAGAACTGTGCTGGTCACCGCAGCAGGCGGGGTACCACAGCCCCTGCTCCCTCTTTGGGGGTCTGAAGCATCCATTGGGGTTTCATCCAGTGCAAACAGAAGACAAGCGGTGGACAACCAGCACCTGCCTGCCCACGGACAGTGTCCACAGGAGCTGTTTGTCTTACCCTCAGCTGTACCTCCGAAGCGAGGATGGTGGGTCTGGGTTTGCATTATTGCCTGCCCTGTGGTTTGGTCCTGGGCTCAGCCCTTGCAGCACGAGACCAGCCCAGCTCTACCCCTCCAAAGCAGGATGGTCCCTGGGCCAGACTGCGTGGGCAGATATCCCTTCTCCACCACGCTGAGTATTCACTGGGAAGGTGTCCAGCAGCCCCAGTGCCAGGCATGTGCTTCTGGCCTGGCAGTGGTGAGGGCACCTCTGTGAGCAGGGCTGAGACCATAGCTAGTGGCACTTCTGCTCTGAGACCCTCTCGTAGTGACTTGGACCAGTAGTTTAAGGACTTTCAGGAGAAGTAAGAGAGAAAGAGGGGTACACACATCATGCCAGAAGCAAGGAGCCTCTGGCTGTGTGCTGCAACAGCAGCGTCCCCTGGCTGCGGTGGTCCCTGAGGACTCCTCTGCGGGCGAGGACTCAGTGGGGGGCCCACCAGCTGATGTTTGCAGATGTTACCTGCACTATCTTCTTTGCAGGCCAAAGATTTCCGTCTGTACAGCCAAGAGGTGCTGGACTTTGGGGGCCAGGTCTCCCTCCTGCTGCTGCTGCCTCCATCAGATGATGTCTGCACTGCTCCAGGCCAGAACAACCCCTACACCCCTCGTTCCGGCTTCCTCACCCTGCCGCTGCAGATCTTTGAGCTAGGTGAGGAGATGGAACGCCAAACCCCAACCTTGCTGGTCTCCTTGGCCTCTGAGACCTCCCGAGAGCTGGGCCAGGCAGTGGGGTGGGCTGGAGCTCCCTCACCTTTCCCAGAAGAGGAGGGATGGGGAGGGATGCTGAGGACTGTTCAGGTAGGCGAGAGGAGAATGTTGCCTCCTCCCTGTGTTGAGTGAGCCAGTAGGAGCCTGTAGAGCATCCACAGCAAGGGACTTGATATTTTTCATTCCCCCCTCTCTTTTTTTCCCTCTCCCCAGTCCACTTCTTCACATACGACCGGGAGTTCATCACCCAGTACTGCCAGGTGTCCGCTCTCCTGGAGCTGGAGTCGCTCCTCTCCCAGCAGAGCCTCAGGGAGGCTTTCTCCGATGCGGAGCTCTCCACCGCAAAGCAGAGGCACCAGCAGGTTCAGGACTACATCCAGGTACATGGAGCAGGAGCACGCTGGGAGGGAGCCAGGCTCAATGGTGCCCACGGGATGTGGCCAGGACAGTCGTGCCCTGGACGAGCTTGCAGGAGCATCCACACTGGGACTGGTCACTGGTCTGGGTGGCTGTGACCCCACGGGGTTTCTCCGACACGGCAGATGGGCAGCGGCAGGCAGGGCTTTGTCTAGCAACTTCTTCCTGCAATGATCACATTAAAAATCCTGATTCGAGAGCCAGAGGCTCCTGCTCTGCAGGTCCCCACTGTTCTAGAAAAGGGTCTGGAAGGGTATTTTGGGATGGACATGCAAAAGGGCACCCCACGCTCTCCCCTTTCCC